TGATCGTGAGCATTTCTTCATATGTTTGTTGGCCGCCTGAATATTCTCTTTGGTGAAGTGTCTATTCATGTCTTCTGCCCATTTTTTAATTGGATTGTTTGTCTTTTTGTTACTGAGGTGTTGGAGTTTTCCATAAATTCTAGAAGTAAGTCCCTTGTCAGATATGTTATTACCAAATATTTTTTCCCAGTCTGTAGGTTCTCTTTTGACTCTTTTGGAGAAGTCTTTGGAAGCACATCAAAATTTAATTTTTAGAAGGTACCAATCATTAACATCACTTCTAATCATAGTCTTTTTAACTCTTACCAAATGACTGGGCAGGACTATGCAAATATCAGGTGCCTGAGGCCCACCAAGGGGATTGGATAGCCTGCTAATAATGTTAATAAGGGGCTGAGCACCCCTATGTGGGTGAGACCATGCAAATAAGATGTTGTTGTTGTTGTTATGTGCCGTCGAATCGGACCCCGACTCAAAGCGACCCCTCCTCCTTGGGTTTCCAAGGCGGTATCATTACGGGAGTAGATTGCCCACCTTCCTTCCGAGGAGTGGCTGGTGGGTTTGAACCGCCAGCCTTCTGGTTAGCAGTCAAGTGCCTTAGGCGCTACGCTATCAGAGCTCCCCAAATAAGATGTATGGAACCCTAATGAGGGCATTGGTCAGTTTTATCATCTGCTAGCCCTGGTGGCATAGTACCTAAGGCACTTGACTGCTAACCAGAAGGCTGGCAGTTCAAACCCACCAGCCACTCCTTGGAAGGAAGATTGATTGGGCATCTACTGCCATAGTGATACCGCCTCAGAAACCCAAGAAGGGGTCGCTATGAGTCAGAGACGACTCGATGGCACATAATAATAACAACAACAGGCTTAAAATAAGCCGTCCCAGAGGGAGAAGGGGCAGGGGGAATCTCACTATCATCAGGAAAGAAGAACCAAGAGTAGATCACATCCTTTGGATCTGAAATCCCTGCACTGAATCTCCTTGATCCAGGCAACTGAGAGCTGTGATGCTGGAGAGGGCAAGAGACAGCAAGCAGCAGCAACAGACAAGTAGAGGCAGCAGAACTAAGAGAATGGCATGAGACAGAGCAGTGGGCTTCCCGGCCCACAGAGCAAGAAAGCTGAGTATCTTTGGGCAGGAGGCTTGCTTACAGAGTGGGGAACCTCTACGTACTTATTGGCAGAGCTAAAACAGCTTTGTAATACTTGTCTTGAGCAAGGGACCAGGGGCTGAGGGCCAGAGACAGGCTGCCTACAGACACTGCTAAGAGGCTATTCTAATTGAAGGAGAGTATCTTGAGTTATTTCTGATCCTGAATTGTAACTGGTTACTTCCCTAATAAACCCTATAATCATTAGTATTGTCTGTCGAGTACTATGTGGCCACTGCAATGAATTATCAAACCAAGCAAAGAAGTAGGAGTGCTGTGGGAGGGGCATTTGGGATTAGAACTATTAAAAAGGTTGGCGGGTAGAGGCATGTCTGATCTCTGCCTCATAGGAATCAGACTTGGGCTGTTGATCCTACTCCTCCTACCAGCTTGTGAAATTAGAGTTCAGACACTGTCCCCACACCATTTTCACAGATACAATCCTGACACACACCTTTGTGGATTTTAAACCACTCACTATCTCTGTGTTCTGTTACAGAAAATGCCTCTTGGTCTGTGTACAGGTTCCACATGAGCACAGTTAAGTGTTCAGGAATTCCTATTCTTCATACTGTTACCCATAATTTGTCAAATCAAGTATCACTTGAAATGAGGAGGACTCAACTGTCACTCAGAGATATCCAATTTATTTTTTCATAATAGGGTTTGACCTAATCTTTACCTTTCACTGGAGTAATCATGCATTTATTATTTACTCCTATTTCACAGGTGGGGTTAACTGTAAGATTAAGTGTTTAATCCTGATCAGAGAATTACTTCTGAAAGTTTAGGGGCAAAGTCAATTAGTATTTTGTCTATTTCCAGATTAATTTAATAATAACAAAAAATTCAGTCGACCACTCATTTATTTGGGAGCTCTGGTGGTGTAGTGCCTAAAGCATCTGACTGCTATCCAGAGGCTAATGGTTCAAACCCACCAGCCACTCCTCAGAAGGAAGACTAGGGAATCTAACTCCATACAGACACAGCCTCAGAAACCCAAGGAGGGGTCACTGTGAGTCAGAATCGACTGGACAGCAGTGAGCATAGCTTTTCTTTTGATTCATTTATTCAATAAATATTTGCGTGTCAACCAACTATGAACTATGGAAGAAACACCTGGCAGTTGTCTTCCCTAAAGATTTACATACTTGGAAACCCAAGGGGGCAGTTTTACTCTGTTCTATAGTCAGAATTAACTCCTTAGCCTGGGTGTTTTCTATGAACTAATTAGTTTGGTACCATTTCCTCCCTGACATTCAACCCTGGCCAGAGATAGTTTCTCAGAAAACAATTCATTCGAAGTCTTAAATATGTAACCTGCACAAACAAGACTACATAGGGTAGAAACGACGTTTTGCAGCATGCAGCAGTCCCATGGAATTTGCACTGCCAAACTCTGCAGCTCCGTCTCCTCAGCTGGATGAAACTGACGCTGCTCTGGCCCTCACTGCTGTGAAATGAGACAGTACCTCTAATTTCAAGCTACCAAGACCGCCTGCCAACACCTTCCCAGGGCACTGACGCCTCAAGGGGCAGGTGTGTTCTAAACTCAGGGCTCCTTAAGGGTTGAAATGGCTTTTCTATGGGCACGGCTTTCCCTAGGGAGAGCAATCAACAAGTGTCTCCGTCCCGTATTTCAGAAGCTAGGAGGGCTCCCTTCAATCTATCCTCATTGCTTTTGACAAAATCCCTGATGGGTGAGATTAGCTCAACAGCCTCCTCAGTGGATCTAGAAAAAGCATTTTCTCGGCTGTCCAGCAAACCTTCCCTCTTCCCTGCAGGAAGAACCGTAGGGAGCAGTCAAAGCTGAGCACCTCCTCCACTCTCTCTCGTGTCATGGGCTCTTGTAATGGGGGGCGGCCATGCGTCCTGCACTCTTCCCAGACTTCCCTACCTGCTCTCGAGGCTTGCCCCCACCCTCCCCGTACACCGCCCGGGCCACCCAATGTACTCCCGAGTTTTCTCCCAAGTTACCATGCTGGCGGGGCGGTCGGCCGCGGTCGAGGGGCTCTTTGCGCCCCCTCTGCACCGTCCCCTCTCGGGAGGGGTGCTGGGTGTCTAGGTGTCTACTCCTGCCTGTCTGCTGCAGCGAGGCTTAGCAGAGTTCTCGGTCGGAGAAGCGCACCAGGCAGCGGCAGTAACTGCGAGCCCGGCGTACGGCAGCCATTTTCGCAGGGCAGGGGGCCAGATTGGGGCGCGCTGGTGGCGGCCGGGGACTCGAGAAGCAAAGGGGCGCCCGCTGCCAGCCGAGGCGGGGAACTGTGGGAGTACTGGAGCGTCGGCCCTAATGGAGACTCCAGACGCCGCCGCGGTGCTGCCCTCTCTGCTGCGGAAAACTGCGCCGGCGCACCGAGCATGCGTAGTACCGCCGCTTTCGCCTGCCCGCGTGCGCGGCTTTATACTCCAGCCACGCGCGCGCCGCCCAGGGGTGGGAGAAGGAGCCACATGGGGGGGTGAGGGTACAACTCTCCCGATCCCCAAACTAAACACACATATTCCGCTCAGTGGATAAGGCTTATGCAAATGTGGATACGCGTTATCTCATAAATGTAACCCAAATTTAATGCTGCAAGCCACACTAAAGAGCATCGAGCTAGGTGTTCGGGACAGTCACTTACGACTCTAATTGAAAGTTTGACGCCAGGAATACGGGCAATCAGTGAGACTGCGCAATAGGGAGGGACTGTTATAAACAATTAAACTTTTTGAGAGCACAGAAAGGGTTTGGGGAGGTTGATGAAATAGATCTGCTTAGAAAAGCGGCAAAGGGGAACTCTCGGCCCGACGTGAACTTGTATTGCTACAAATCCCATCGTTCAACGCGGGTGGGACGTGCAGCTCCCAGGCCCTGAAACCCGAGTCCTGGCGGGGACAGTGCTCGCATGGCTCTCTGGGATTAGTAGTTCCATGATGTGCATTGCGCGCCGGAATTTAACACACGATGCTCGCCCGGTCCTTCAAAGCCCTAATGCACAAATGCCTCATTTTGCTTCAGATGAAGGTGCTCTTATTGATCGGATGATATTTTACTTTTCCACACTTAAAAATTTTTGAAAACGTAAGTTTGCATATTCTATTAAAACCAACAGCCGTCATAGCCTTTTACTTTTATTCAACAAACATCTACCGAATGTCTAAAGTTTCTTCCAGGTGCCAGGGATTAATAACAGGATTCCAAAACCCTACTTTCAGTCAGCTCACAGCGTTTAAATCTGTAATCTTTTATTTTATTTTGGAGAACTCAGAAATGCAGTACATTCTCGATGGAACAGCGGATGCAAATAAAGAAGATAAAGGGATAGAATGATGAGCTACAATAACCAAAACCCAACTCACAGCTGTGCAGTTGGATCCCACTCATAACGACCCCTCCTTGGGTTTTTGAGACTTCCTTTGACTCACGGTGAGCCCATGTATAATTGGACTAGATTGTTGCGATCCACAGGGATTTTATTGGCTGATTTTTTGGGAAGTAACTTGTCAACCCTTTACCACACCCATTTTTACCAGCCACATTTCCTCTATATTTAAGGGTTTACCCATGTCGTTGAGTCAGTTCCATAGTGGAAAGTTTCCCCAAAAAAGTCAAACTCACTGTCATCCAGTGGATTCCAATTCATAGCGACCCCCATTGAGTTTTGAAGGCTGTAAATCTTTATGAAAGTGGACTATCTCATCTTTTTTTTTTTCTGTGGAGCAGCTGGTGGATTTGAACCATCAGCCTTCCGAGTAGCAGCCAAATGCCTCTACCACTACACCACTAGAGCTCCTCAATGAAAAGGATACTGCTTTGTAAATTAAAATTTGTTGCTTAGGGCAGTGGTTCCCAAAATGTGGTTCCCGGCCAGCAGCATCAACACCAGAAACTCCAGGAGTGGGCCCCAGGAATCTATGTTTTAGAAGACCTCCAGGTGATTCTGGTGCCTCAAGATAAATTTGGAGAACCGTTCGTTAAGAGCAATTATGTAAATTTAAGCCTGGCCCCTCAAAGCTTTGAGGCCAGGCATTATAGAGATAGATGGTCATGTCTTCAACAGCACTTCTGATGCAAATAAATGTGTTTTTAAAACTACGTGTTACACGCTAAAGAACAACTGTGTAGAAGATATCCAATCAGTTGCCTACCTGGATAACAATCCAGACTTCCAATCTAAAATTACTAGCATAAAAAAACTCTTGAAGTTCAAATGAATGTCACCAGGTAAAGAGTTGCATTTTTAAAATCAGGAAAATGTTCGTACCATGATTACCTTTGGTTAAATGTTTTCAAAGCATGCACTCACAGCTTGCATTTCTAAATCTTTAAACTTGATACAGCCCACCGTTGGAGGTCGCATTGGTGGTCGGCTTGCTGGGATTTTGGGCTCTTTCCGGCCCTCGTCGAGAGCGCTCGGAGCGGATCCACATCCCCTGGGCTGCATAGCCACGGTGTAGGGACGCACAGGGCCAGCGAGGGGAGCTGCAGGGTAACTTTTCCTAGGGAAAGCAGCCGGTCGTCCCTACTAGAAGCTACCCTGCCTTTTGTTTGTTTTCCTGCCGGAGGCTGGAAAGCGGCTGGGTTCCTGCTGCACTGCCATGCGCCGCGCGGCCGGAGAGACTCGCCGGACCTCCCGGGCGTCCCTGCAAGGACCCCTCGGCTTCTCCTAGCACGGATCGCCCTTATTTCCAGTTTCCGAGCGGGCTGCTGCGCCCCAATAGCTGAGGAGCTGCGCTCACCGCAGGGGCGGGCCCCTGCCTGCGTTCGCGGCGCCAGTAAGTGGGGGTCAGGGATTTAGGGGTTTTTGCCAGACGGCCTGTCACTCGGGGTGATGGACTGGAGCTGTAGCGGGACCCCAGTTTGGTGGCTCCGCGAGGGATCCGAGGGGAGGAAGACGAATGTGCTGTAGTTTTCTTTTCGTTATCATTTAGATCTCGCCCTCTTGGCACGAAAACTCCCGTTTATCGGAGTCTGTAAGGTTGTGTTGGGTGTTTACCATTTAGTCTTAAAGAGGGGAAAGATCTTTTCCTGGATTTGAAGCCTTTTGGGTGCCTGTTAAGGAGTTGCTCTTGGAATTTTCCCGACTAGGCCCTTAGTTGTCCCGCAACGGATCTGAGCAAGAATCCCCACACATTTATCTGCGACCATTTTTCACTGAATTTCTTTCTGCTCTGATTTCTTTCTTAGTAGTCCGAGTAGTTGTTGAAGGATTTTTCCAGAACAATCATCTTTTGTAATGTGTCTTTTGAAGTTTGACTTTGACACTTTGGCACTAAAAGCTTATCGTTAGATTTATATTAAAGTAGTTTAATGCACCATTCTGCACAAAAGAGTACTCATTTCCACTTATAATTAAATAGATACCTGCTTTTGCCAAAGCTGGACTATGCTGAAAGAATACCACCTTGAGTTTTGCATGGTGGGCTGATTGCT